AAATACATTTCGCTGCAATAAGAAAAACATTGAAAATGTAATATTCAAATTCAATTTTCTCCCGAAGAATTTTACGGCAATTACTGATTTTCAAACGAGTTGTTCTCCTGCGGGTTTTAACCAATTTTTCTCAAATTTTCACAGGACATAGCTAAAGACGTCAGTTTGAAAATTGTGTTAATTTTGGATATTTTAATAATAAAGAGCAATTCATTCAAATAATTCAGAAATATATTGCAGTCGTCAAAGAAATCGCCATATCAGAGGAATGACGAAATAAGCAAAAATTTCCGAACACGATTTTTTAGAACAACTATTTTACTGTATAAAACAACATGAGCTCCACCTTTGAATTTACTATATGAGTAAATTCTTAAACACGTCCGAATTTATCATTATGATAAATTCGCGGCACATTTTGAATTTATCAATAGAGTTAATCATAAAACCACAATCATTGCACAAGGTTTCTTCTTATAAATGTAATGGCACTAAAAGGGAAGCTGGTCGCGCGGGGTTGGGGAGTTTTTCATGTTTTTTAAAAAAATAGTTTTTAAAAAAGTTTTAAAAAGTTTTAAAAGAGTTTTGAAAAGCAAAAAAAGTTTAAAAAGTTAGATTTTTAAAAAAGTTAAAAAAATTTAAAAAGTTAAAAAAATTTAAAAAGTTAAAAAATGAGGGTTAGGGGTTAGGTTAGTGGTTAGGGGTTAGGGTTAGGGGTTAGTGGTTAGGGTTGGTGTTAGGTGCCGCGAATTTATTATTAGGATAAATTCAAAATTTGCCGCGAATTTATCATAATGATAAATTCGGACGTGTTTAAGAATTTACTCATATAGTAAATTCAAAGGTGGAGCTCATGCTGGTATAAAAATAATATTTTCATAAATATATCGTAAAACAAGCAGGAACACAACTCAAAAGCGCTTTAAGATTTTCCTGAATAATTCTTACATTATTTTATTGTTTGTTAATTTTATACTTGACCATATTTTGCATGCACTGGCTAACATTTGCTAAAAATTTGATGAAAATCGGACTGATATTGAGCGCGCACGCAGTAGCGATTTTCCGCAAAACGTCAAAAAGGGTGTCCTGTAACCTTAATTCCTCATATTTTACGAGAACCGAATTCAATAATAAAATCTCGACGAAACAAACTTCTTGCTGACAAGTTGTAACAAGTTTGTTATTTTATCAACTTCGAACTTCTTGTTGCTTGCAGACTTGTGGAAAGTTGTTGGAATACTACTTGTACCAAGCTTGTTGACAACAAGCCATATAATCAGGGACGCCGGAACTGGGGGGCAGGGGGGGCGGCTGCCCCCCTTGCCTTTTGCTACGGGGGCAGGGGGGGGGGAGAAATGCCCTTTTAGTTGTAAAAGAGTACGTGATAAATCACATTTCCAACGATGCTTTTTGTAGGAAAATCATGAGATTTAGGTAATTTATAGTTTATATTTATGAAAATTTTGGAAAATTTTTGGAAATTAGAAAAATATTTTGAAGAAATGGTGAAAAATGTAAGATATGCGAAAAAATTTTTGTCTTCACGGAAAATTTTGGTATGTCCGGAAAACATTTTTTGACCCCCTTGGCTACGGGGGGAGGTGGGGTGGGGGGGAATTCGCCATAAAAATTTCCATTGAAAAAAAATTTTCCGGTAGATTTTTAATTTTTGCTTTATAGAGGTGCCCTTGGTGTGCGTCCGCCCCCCTTTGCCTTATTATCGTTCCGGCGTCCCTGCATATCATCGTCAAGTTGTAACAAGTCCGTTGCAGCAAACTTGTGGCTGTGCAACAAGTTGTAATGGCATTCTTAACGGCAAGAGTTTTCAGAAACTGATTGAATTTGAACAAGACGCAATCTGATTCAAGAAAAATGAACTTTTCAGTATTAACGACCATATCAAGTCCGTTCTGTGCATCATAACAAAGGGGGACCCTAGCCTCGTACCCAGGTACGAGGCTGGGGGGACCCACAGATATAAACATTGCCCAAATTTTGCATCTTTCGAACTTTTTTGAATTGAAACGTACTCTAGTTTATATTCATAGTTACAATGGACCAATCCTCAATTAACCAAAATTTTAAACTCAACAAGTCTAGACAAAAATTTCATCACAGCTTGAAAGAGCATCACAAAATTAGTAATATTCCAAAGTTTCGTTGCAAAATGTTGTAAAATGCGGATAATATTAGCCTTGCGAAGTTTGCAATTTTCAGTTATTTTAGATTACAAACGGGAAATGGTTACCACTTATGTGCATGCGTAATACAAAATGACTGAAAATTACAAACTTCGCAAGGCTATATTATCCGCATTTTACAACATTTTGCAACGAAACTCTGGAATATTACTAATTTTGTGATGCTCTTTCTAAGTTGTGATGAAATTTTTGTTTAGGCTAGTTAAGATCAAAATTTTGGAAAAGTGGTAACCATTTTCCGTTTGTAATCTAAAATGACTGAAAATTGCAAATTTCGCAAGGCTATATTATCCGCATTTTACAACATTTTGCAACGAAACTTTGGAATATTACTAATTTTGTGATGCTCTTTCATGCTATGATGGAATTTTATCTAGACTTGTTGAGATCAAAATTTTGGTTAATTGGGGAATGGTCCATT